CTCCAACGTCTTGGAGAGTTTCGACGACACGCCCCTGGAGAGGACAAAGGCTCGTCACTCCGGTTATGAACAATTTAAAAGAGTTAGGGCTCCCGAGCTAGAGGAAACTGGCGAGAGGTCACTCGGCCAGAGACCAATCGTTACAGACGGCCTCAACACTGACCTGAAACGTCACAACCTGTAGGCAGTTTAAGCGTATAGCTCGTTCCCATGTCACAGGTCTGTACGACGTGGAAACCAGCTATTGGTTTAAAATGCCCCCATGTAGTGATGTTGCAGGTCAGGGTAGAGGCCTCCTATCAAGTTAACGAATGATTTCTTTCGGCCTCAATATCTTCTATAAATCTTTGCGGGGGGGGGGGGGGGGGGGGGAGGGAAATTGGGAAAAGGGGCGATAATTTTATGGTACGCAGGTACTTATGAACAATGAGAAATTGAAAAAAAAAACAACAAAAAAAAAGAGACCTTGGAACCGTTGGAAAGCATTGAAGTAGAATGTGCACTTTGCTAGTGAAGACACAGTGTGTAACAGCTTGCCTATATGTCCTGTGTTATTGTAGACACCCGGCGTAATAGTTTACCTATATGTACTGTGTTGGCATAGTAGACACACTGCTTAGCTATGTGTTGCTTACTGTGTTGTAGACACTTAGCTTACCTATATGCAGTGCTTTTTTTTGTAACGGTACACACCGGTACGGTGTAACCGGCACCTTTTTCAGTGTGGGGAAAAATTATAACTTTTCTTGTATTTTAACTTTTATTATTGATTTATTAGTCGTTAAAAGTTAGGCAATCCATCACGTGAGTACCGGCACCTAATCACTGAGTACCGGCACCTAATCACTGAGTACCGGCACCTAATCACTGAGTACCGGCACCTAATCACTGAGTACCAGCACCTAATCACTGAGTACCGGCACCTAATCACTGAGTACCGGCACCTAATCACTGAGTACCGGCACCTAATCACTGAGTACCGGCACCTAATCACTGAGTACCGGCACATTTTTTTGTTTTACAAAAAAGCACTGCCTATATGTACTGTGTTGGTGTGGACACATTGCTTACCTATATGTACTGTGTTGGTGTAGACACACTGCTTACCTATATGTACCGTGTTGGTGTAGACACACTGCTTACCTGTTTGTACTGTATTGGTGTAGACACACTGCTTACCTATATGTACCGTGTTGGTGTAGACACACTGCTTGCCTATATGTACCGTGTTGGTGTAGACGCACCGCTTACCTGTTTGTACTGCGTTGGTGTAGACACATTGCTTACCTATATGTACTGCGTTGGTGTAGACACATTGCTTACCTATATGTACTGTGTTGGTGTAGACACACTGCTTACCTGTTTGTACTGTGCAGGTTTAGACGCACCGCTTACCTGTTTGTACTGCGTTGGTGTAGACACATTGCTTACCTATATGTACTGTGTTGGTGTAGACACACTGCTTACCTATATGTACCGTGTTGGTGTAGACACATTGCTTACCTATATGTACCGTGTTGGTGTAGACACATTGCTTACCTGTTTGTACTGTGTTGGTGTAGACACACTGCTTACCTGTTTGTACTGTGTTGGTGTAGACACACTGTTTACCTATATGTACTGTGTTGGTGTAGACTCACTGCTTACCTATATGTACTGTGTTGGTGTGGACACACTGTTTACCTATATATACTGTATTGGTGTGGACACACTGTTTACCTATATGTACTGTGTTGGTGTAGACACACCGTTTACCTATATGTACTGTATTGGTGTAGACTCACTGCTTACCTATGTATATTGGATCGAATGTTTTTATGTTTAATTAATGTTGGGTATCCTTTCAGAAATGACGCGAAGGCGTCATAGGGGTTGAACTCGAGATCACAGCGAAAATTATACCAAGAGGATATTAAAGGTAAAACTGGTGCAAACGGGGGGGGATGGGGGGTGTGGGGGTGTCCTCTCCGTGTACGCAGATAAACCATGAAGGACACTGCAAGATATCTGGACAGCAATTGAAGAGACTATAGCTGGACAGCAATGGAAGAGACTAGAATTGGACAGCAATGCAAGAGACTAGATCTGGACAGCAATGCAAGAGACTAGATCTGGACAGCAATGCAAGAGACTAGTTCGAAGTCTCAGTACAGAGTTTGTGTGTATGTAGGATATTACTGATGGATGAACAAATAAAGGGAAGAGGAAAGTTGAATGGAATTATGTCAATAATAGAGTTATTAGGGGCTGGAATGCGTAATGGTACTCACAAAAAAAAGAGAAAATGTATGCATTTTGTGTCACAAACTCGAAGGCGGTCTCCTTTACAATCTATATATAATATCTAACAGCTGAGCCACCATTAACCAGAAAAATTAAATTAAAATAATGGAGAAAAACTTCACATGGATTTTTTTTAAACAACGAAATCTAATCTGATGTTGAATATAGTTGGATCTCTTCGGTTTCGCAAACCATATACTAGTCTTCTGAATCTTTCTCTGTCTCTCATTTACTACTTAGAAAAATACTTTTTTTTTTCGCTACCGTAGTACAGGCTCCTGAAAATGTGCTTTAGTTCAACTCTCTTTCTTATGGATAATTGAATTTTAAGAAATGTATTATTCATAAATGCAGGATCCAAGAAATATTCGAAAAGTCGAAATATAAACGTACTAATTTTAGCCTTTGTAGTCTAGTAAGCACATGAATTATAATATCCTAAAAAATTATTGATTTTAAGGTAAGATAATCTAATTAGATTGATTTTTATAAATGATTGTAAAATGCTCAATCTGTATTCTAAAAAAATATTTTTTAAATTGTTAGCTACACTGACCATAATTTAAACGCATATATATATATATATGTTTATATATAATTTATAATATATAAATCATATACCTGCACAATGTATCACTATCTGTAGCACATACCATGCGTGCTATCACTGTGTATCTCCAAGGGCGCCTCAATCACGAAGGTCATGGTGTATCGTCTGCTCTAAACAAAGACTCTGTCACCTTCTTTCCCAGACTTCTTCCATTGAAGTCCTTGTCACGTGTTACAGTTTCATTGACACAACCGTTATAAGAAATAAATATCTCTATAGATAGGATACAAGACCTGTTACATCTCTATTACAGGACTATCACTGTCACAGGATAGTTTTAAGCCCCTGTTACTTACTGTTTAAAGTTTGTTATACATTCTGTTACTATTATAAGTTGTTTCTAGTTCCTCCTATATACTTTTCTGTTTCTAAGTCTGTTGACTTAGAAATTATAGTTGACTTAGAAATCATAGTTGACTAAAAATCATAGTTGACTTAGAAATCATAGTTGACTTAGAAAGAGAGAGAGAGCTTAGAGATCACAGCGTACACTTAAATATGTATTTAGCTGTTAGTAGGTTTTTAGACAGTCTCTGGATGTCTTCTATAAGATCGTAAGTTATCCGCTGTCCAGATTCAGTAGGTGCTTAAAGTCAACTAATAACAGGTTACCTCTAAGTATATTGGATTATTAACAATGCTCCTCTCGTGTCCGACCATCTAGTACCGGTATTTCTCGTGGATTAGCTGTCCTAGATGTGATTTAAAAATTTTGACACATCCAGCGCAGACATAACCGTAGTCTGCTGATGATCGGTTTAGGTTTTCTCCTACAGCGGTACTCAAACTGTGCTCCGCGAACACCACTGGTAGGGGGTATGAAGAAAGATGAAAATGGTATAAAATTAAAAAATAACTTTTTTCTAAATGTCATATTATTTAATTGTATAATTTTAATAAAGTTAATTTCAATCCATTGTCAACTCTTTACTATTACTATTTTAAGTCGACCCAAACCAAGATTCGAGACATTCTTCAATTAGATATTACTGTCTGCTGTACCGTTTTGCGCACGGATTAACCCAGATCACAATCACAGATCAATCTATACTAATAAAGAAGCAGCTTATTGAAATATCCACAAACATGGAACTTCAACCAATTATTGGACAAGGAGACGCCAAAGTCTGGTTACATAAACAGATTCCAATTCTATATCCTTCATTATTTGTCTCTGATTGTACAGAAGTTGTTGACTGCTTTCCCGAATTCATTTTAGGTACAATGTGCATTCGTTGCCGTAATAAGCTCATTACAAAAAACAGAAATCGACAGGAAATGTGTGCTCGTGGAGATCGTGGTAGCTACGTACAAGCATGTAGCTGAGTATAGATTTCCTGTGGCCGTACTGTGTCACGGAAGGAAAGTTGCAACAATGATTATTATATACTTATGCATTTATGTAGCTTTTTCAGTTAGGAGTCCATCGGCAAGTTTTCACTACATAAAGGGGTCCCCCGGTAAAACAAAAGAAAACCTCTGCTCTAGTGTATTAAATAGTACGTAATGAAGTAGCACATCTTGGCACAATTGTTTAAAACTGTTTTTTTTTAAATTATTTCGGCATTATTTGAAACTTTTTTTTTTGCTCGGGTAACAAGAGGTTAAATGATCCCCCTTGACCTTGCAGTGTCTAAAAATAGATGTAAGTACTTCCTGTGTCACTGCATGGTCCTTGATCATTATCTGCTTTAAGCAACTCTGGCTTACAGAATGTAGACTGTCCAATGGCAACACTACATCAAAACATAATAAAAACAGATCATTCTGTATTTAAAGAGTTAAAATGATCATTTCTAGTTGTGCAGTACATTGGTGTAGAAATACTCCGTTTTATTAACCCTTTTTAACCTTGAACATTTTCCTTCAGTTTAAGAACTACATTTTCCAATACTGCTTGAAATGTATAAAAATTAACATAATCTATTAATAGCGAATCTTAGCCAGCAGTTCTCACTTGTATGTCCCCGACTCATCTTCATAATTAAGACTGAATGACAGACACCAACCCTGTCTCTATAGCACAGATACCTTACAGGACAATAACATACACATATACACAAACAGTGACCAATACAATGATGAAATAATCACTAGGAACGAAGGAATAATTTATACGATAATTTTATTTCATTAAAAATTTCCTTTTTTTTAAACCGTATTTATGACGTCACTCAGCAGCTCATCCATAGATTTCAACTAAATCCAATACATTGTAGATAGGAGAACGCACTCCAAACTTAAAGAATTACTCCAATTTGAATACTTAAAATAAAGTAGGGAAAAAAAAAAAAATTCACAGCTTTGAAGTAATTTTTCACACAATCATTGGGTCTCAGGGCCATTAAATTCACACAATCATTGGGACTTTTAAAATCTGTCCCAATTATTGGGTCTCAGAGACTTTAAATTCACACAAGCATTGTGTCCCAGAGACGTTTAATCTGTCCCAATCATTTGGGGGCTTAATGAGATTGAATCTCACACAATAATTTGGGCCTTAAAGATATAACTAATAAAGTGCAAGTATAACAAAGTATTTCTAAACAGCTCTGCAAGAAGGAGAAGAACAAATATATTCATTAAACAAAGAGCTGTTTTAATTTTAAATACAAAATACCCTTCATTCACATTCACAAGTCAGACAAGGTGGCAATTTTTAAACACTGTAATAAAAACATAATCGCAGTCAAGTCACAAAAGCCAAATTAAATTGCAGTCATTTCATGTTTTAAAAAAATTGCATCTGAATAACTTGGAAGTTTGTTTTGATAGTTTGCAGGAAATAAAAAAAATTCAACCAGAACAAACACAAGTGGGCCAATTAATGCAATGAGACTGCGTTATTTAGACCTCTGACTCTCAACAGGTTCAAACAAGATATAATTAAAACTTCAAAACAAATGAACAGCTTTTGATTGGTCAACATAATGTAGCAGTTATTAAAAATTGTCAAATTTTAATTCAAGAAGTAAGTATTCACGGTTTAATGAAGATAAATGAACATACTTTTGTTAGTATTAAATAAAAAATCAGTGATATAAAAATGGGCTTTTCAAAGTAATTTTGGGTATTGGGTTACCCCCCCCCCCCCCCCCCTAGCAGAGTGTGTTACAAGGTGTGTTATCTCATGTGTGACATAAATACCAGAATCAGGACTTTGTTAACTAGATGTGTCATTCTGCCAGTGTTAGGGTTTATGTTAAGCCACAATCTTGCTAACAGGATATTGAGTTTAAAGACATGATCTGGCTAACAATGCATACTGTTGGCGACTCAAAAACATTTTTTAGAGAAGAAATGGCGAAAATTGTGCCTTATGTTACTATTGGAGTCAAAGCTTTTAAATAAAGTACGTCCTTTATTGTTTTCCTGTTTATTTTTCAATTTCATTTTGGAAGCCACCAGATTCACTTCGCCTGGGGGGGGGGGCAACAATTTTACTCAACAAATAGAAGAGAAAAAGAAAATTGGGGACAAAAACAAACAAGAACTGAAACGTTTAACAATGGTTTAACTTCTGTTGAAGAAGGGACAGAAAAAGGAGATAGATGTTAAAGGTGAGCAGCCTCTGCTCTTGCAGCGTGAGAATTCTCTTCCATATAATAAACTAATACCATAATTTATGTTTGCTAATGTTGGCATGAAGATAAAATGATCGAAGCACAAGATATAAAAAATAAATAAAATGTGTCCAAAGTGTCCAGTGATGATGATTGTGTGAGAACAGAGTCTTCATCCAGTGAGGGGGCAATATAACGCTAAAACATAGAAATAAGTCACCAAACACAGTTAGTAGATCACAATGAAGCAGAGGGTGGATCCTGAGACCTATCCACGTCTGAGTATAGTCACGGCACAACAGCAGCGCCGAGTCTTTGTCCATAAAGTGTGTACGGGGAGTAATATGGCCCCACTGGGAAGGACTGTGGCGTCGGGGGAGTGCCACCCACAGCAGACAAAGGGTTCTTGTAAGGGTGGTACCTACTGGCCCCTAGAAGGCTGGACACTGGGCTTAAGCTCGTTGGATAAGACCTGCGGAGGGAGTTAGGGCTCAGAGGGGCAGAAAGGTGAGGGTAGGCCGCAGCCAAGGAGGGGAGGCCCAGTCCAGCGTAGGAAGCCGCTAGCGTAGAAACGTCCATGGATGATGTATGGGTTCTCAGATGCTGGAGGAGTTCTTCAGAAGAAGTGAACCTTTTACCACAGTAGTCATTGCCGGATACCCAATTGCATATATAGGGAAGTCCTTGGTGAGCTGCTGCCGCAGCAGCTAGTGCGCTGTGGGGGTACAGAGAATGGAGAGAGGACAGGGCTGACATTGAGGACAAGGAGCTTGCTGAAGACAATGATGGCATTAGCATGGATGAAGCTCCTGCTCCGTGGAGGCCTAATGCTGAAAGGCTGGTTAACGACTTCTCATGGGCGCACTGTGCACATCCAGGCGCATTGCACGTGGAAGATAAGTGTGAGTTTTGCAAGGTGAGCTGACAGTTTGTGCAGTACGGGTCGCGACAGACGGGTACAAGTGTCGTCGCTCCCGACGGCGTCCTTACTCTAGCGTAGGTGACAAAGGAAGACAACGCAGAGGGGTTGCCGGCGGCAGCTGCCTTCAGGGCAGATGACTGTGCGGCTGCTGCGGCAGCAGTGTAGCTGGACAAGCTGGAATGGGCGGCCAGAGCACTGTGGTAGCTGGAGCTCGCTGCGTCCAGCCCATGTGTCATCAGCGCCAGGTGACTCGGGTAGCCAGCCAGATGGGCGGCGGAGGGAAGAGCCCCGAGCATGGACTGGTGCGATGAAGAGAGCTTGGACGAACTGCTCAAGGGGGATGACTGCATCACAGATGTTGAGTGGGAGCTAATAGGCTTTGAGAAAGATGGCGAGGACGTGCTTGTGTGGGAATTAGATCCCGAGGACGCTGGCGAGTCCCGGTTCTTGTGATGTGAGTGGTGATGACTTCCACTGCTACTGTGCTGATGGTGGTCACTACCCAAAGACATATCAGACTTTCCATTACTGCTCCTGGAGCTTGACCTTTGCCCACCCATGGAGTGATGACCTCCTGCTGAGACGGGCCTGGAAGATGAAGACGATGATGAGCTCGATAGATTCATGCCGCCGTTTCCATTGGGAGAGGTTGAGGATTTTGGCTCGATACAGGATGCTGATCTTTTCTCGCTGGAACTGATGGGAACCAACGGAGGGATTTCTTTGGGCGGAAATGTTCTGAACCCTGGTTTGGAGTCTCTACCCGAATCTTTGGCTCCATGAGAGCCAGGTCTTTTGTTGGCAGATGAATCACAATCTCTGTCAGATTTCTCCACATCTTTTCTGTCCAGTGGAGGTATGATAGGCTTGGAGGGTGATGTGTCTTTGCCAATGGCGCTGCATGTTTGTGCCAAAAGAGCCAAGGGACTTTTCTTTGCATCCAACTGGAAAGAAAAAAACAACAACATAAAGTAAAGTAAATGTTATTAAAATAGTAATATTAGTAAGAAACGGAAACAGGTTAAAGTTATTCCGCAGCTAATACTTGATCTATATATAGACTTAGTTGTAAATGCACGTGTGGGAAAAGAGAGGGGGGTGGTGGCGCCGAGGTGTAAGAAGACGAAAGTGACACTATTAGCCCCCAACTCAATTCCTTCTTACATTGTCCCACAATTTACAGAAAAAAAAAATAGATAAACTGTTTAAGATAAGCTCAAAGTGTCATCCTTGACAGGCCAGCGTTAGCGCTCAGAAATGAAAAAAAAAACACACAAAGAAAAAAGAAAAACAAAAATCTGGCACTTATGACGTTTCACGAGGCGCACTTCTTCATTCGGAATGAATCAGATAAACATGCCAGTTGGCCACTTGAATTCTGATAATCTCGTTTTTACAAAAGACTAAAATTCTAGTCCCTGGACTATCTGGTTTTGTTGTCAAATGATCGAGTGCTCTCAAAGAAAACAACGCAGGCTTCGAATAATATCATTCACTGACTGAAGCAGGAATAAGAAACGTCGTTTAAGATGTCAACACTGTTGTTAGTGACAACATTAAGCCTAAGTTATCGACAGTTTTAATGACCATTTAGAAAAACTTTTTTTTTAATGTAGACCTTATAGCTTAGAACTTTGAGAAGTGTCCAGATAGAGAGGCCAGACAGCCCCATTTTCATCTTGACCACCAAAAAGGATTTCTCAAAGTAGACATGCTTGGACCGGGAGCTCTTCACTCCTAGTTTTATGATGGCAACGACCATTACTGGAAATCGGATCGTGCCATATTACGGGAGTGTCAGCCTAATGATTAGCTTTGAACCTCCTGTTCTTTAACTGTCTCAGTTCGACACAAGCTTTGTGTAAAATGAAATTACATGTTCCTTCTTTTTTTTTCCCTGTACAAACGGGAACAACAGATCCGCGTGGAACAACGTGTACGTGTATGTCTAACAATGTATGTGACAGTTCTATGTGTACACACTAGGTACAAGATGCATTCTGATGCGATGTCAAATGGATAATTAAAGGACACATGACATGTCCAGCCATGAACTTTATTGCCCTAGTCAATAATGTAGACAAAACATTGTCAACAGGTTATACCTTCTTTTCCCCCTCTCCTGAACCTCTTATATACCCTACCTAGCCTAGTACAGATCTTTTCTTTGGGGGAAGGCAAGGTTGGTAGCAATGACGTGGGCTAAATCTGCTTTATTTTTAAAAACACAGTACGTACGCGGCACAGAGGGAAAAATTGCCTTGAGAGTGAACAATGCCGACATGTCTTGTTTAGGATTGAACACTTTGTAACGAAAAGCTCAGCAAAGATGGCGATGTACGCACGACGTACTTGCGCCTGTCTTATGGTGGAGTCTGCTAAACGCTACGCTGTCTGTCTAGAGCTAACCTTGTCTGCCTAGCGTTAAGCTGTCTGTTGTAAACTACCCAACGTGTGTGCCAACAAACAATCAGGGAAGTTTTAGTTTTCTCAAACGTGTTTAGCAACAGGGGCGTGTCCTGGTGGAAGCAGAAGTGATTTTTTTTAAAACAATTATAACTCATAATGTTACGTTTCAGTTTAAAGAATTCTATAAATGACTACCCAAATGTCGGACGGCTGCTTGGTCGTGAAGAATGCGCTGTAGACTATCATCGCGATGAGCTGGTTCAGGAGAGGGGGACAAGAAGGTATATCCCCGCCTTGTCATTCCATTGCGCGTTCCGGAGGTTTGAACTGTGACTCAAACTTAAAAAAAAACAACAACATGCAAAGATATATATTTCTATAAACGTCTGTTGAAAAAAAAAAGGTGGGGGGTGATGTATTTGCTTTCATTGACGACACAACGCCCTTGTAGTATAGTTACCGTGTTAAAAGGGAAGAAACTCTACTATTTAAAAAAAAGTATTGTAACATAAACTCGTGACTTTGATTATGTAAAGACTACATTCCAATGTTTTTCTTCAGACTAGTTTTATGTTTTACTTTCAACAACGCGATTATTTTGTTTTGTGATCTGAAAATTATTTCCATTTCATAAAGAAGGCCTTCAGGAACCCAAATGCCGAAGTGACAGGCCTGTGGTCAAATAACATATGGCGCGAACTCCAGGCACCCTTCCCCTCTGTTAGGCTTGACAGAAACTCAATAGCCTCCGAGTGCTCTGTTCTGGTAATCGATAAATGGACAACACCATTCCAGTCTCCAGGCTCACTGCTCCCCTCCCCTTTCCCCTGTTAACATGGTCTCTTCGTTGCGCCCCCACACAATCGCCACCAACATACACACATACACAACGCCGAATAATATCCCCCCCTTGCCTTTTTACTCTCACGCCAAAACAAAATTGTCTCCCCTCCGCCCTGTTATTTTTTTTCGGTCATGACAAGTTTAACTATCAAACAGCCTGTCATGTTGACACTGTATATTGGCAGCGACGGCAGTGACATGCCAATAGCATTTACCCCCCCCCCCCCCCACCCCTTTCTGTTCATATAATATCATTGTCTGTCTGCCTCCATTTGCGACCCCCCTCCACTTCCGCAATATTTTGTGTGCAGGCTTTTATCTCTGCTGGAACTGACAGCGCGAATCTGCCTCGGCACAAATGA